ATGACCAGACACAATAATTTACAGTTACTTGTACTGTGGGAGTGGGATGCTGTTTTGGTAGTGGTGAATGACCAGACACAATACTTTACAGTTACTTGTACTGTGGGAGTGGGATGCTGTTTTGGTAGTGGTGAATGACCAGACACAATACTTTACAGTTACTTGTACTGTGGGAGTGGGATGCTGTTTTGGTAGTGGTGGATGACCAGACACAATACTTTACAGTTACTTGTACTGTGGGAGTGGGATGCTGTTTTGGTAGTGGTGAATGACCAGACACAATACTTTACAGTTACTTGTACTGTGGGAGTGGGATGCTGTTTTGGTAGTGGTGAATGACCAGACACAATACTTCAGAGGGAAAGAGAATGTAATGTGCCAACCTGTAATGGTGTAAATGCCACGCTAGATGCTGTACCCGACGTCTCTCGTCCTCTTACTGTTGATTTACCACCATATGTCTGTTGTTTTTGTAATGTTCTCTGCATTAAAAAAAAAAACACGACAAAGTATTTAAGATGCAGCAGAAATCAGAACATTATGTTTTTGTAAACAGATTCTTGTTATATGAAGACAAAAACAAACAAATCAGACAAACCTGTAAACTTTTGGATAGCTTGACTTGTGTTTTAGTGTCTACTTGAGGACCACGTATTCTCCCCGTGCCCGATTTACCGATCATGCCGCTAGAATACCCCATAGCGTCCTGATACGCATCTTCCTCAATTGCACCAAATGTCATTCTATTTGCTGCCTTTCTCATTTCTGTCATACCATATTTCTCTTTCATTTTCCTTAATCTAGTAAAAAAACATTGAATTTGACATTATTATCTTTGACTTTAAAGTGCCTGTGAAATGGCTGCTATTTTCACGTCTAAAATTATCAATTGATACATAAATATTATTAATTTTTATGTTTCTAAGCATAAATTATTTTTTTTAAGTGAAAACATGTGTTTTAAACTCAGTCTACAGCAACTTTATTTTTTGTATTTTAAAACGAGGCTCCTCATTAGCTATTCATTGCCATACAGAAATTCCCCTTGTGACGTCAGAAAGGGAAGTTGCTGGGCAGCTCGCATTGCCGATACGTGTAAATAAGGCCAATTTCTTGTGCAGTTTTCTCGTCTTTGACTACATTGTCACTTATGTACTTTTTCGTCGAGGAAGAACGGGCCATAATGAACACTTGGATATCAAATTTGTTGCATGGGGTTGAGTTAGATGCGAGATATGTCCGTCCTGGTGTGGCTGGTCGGAGTGATGTCACCGTCCCCGGCGCACGTTTGTAAACTATCGCTGAACCTCGGCACTGGACAACTTTCGAGTCGGTAAGAAGTTCTAGTTTTTT